TGCAGGTAGATATTCAAGGAGGCCAGAAAAGGGTGTTGAATCCCTTGGAGCTGGAGTCAGAGGCAATTGTAAGCCACCCAATGTGGGCACTAGGAACTGAATCACGTCTCTAGAAGAGCAAGTGCTCTTACCCACAAAGTCCCCCCAGACAAGCTGTTTCTAAGAAATCATGTATTTCTATCTTTTTACTCTGGTCTCAAGGTAAAACCAATATGTACAATTCAGTATGAATGATGATGGCTATCCAGTTAAAAACAACAGTTTAAAAGACTTTAAACACCAGGATAAAGGGCACTTCTGTATATACTGATGACAGTTACAGGGTGACGTTAAGCGTGTTGATAAGGTGCTGGAGGTCACTTGAGACAGCTGCACTGTGAGGCACTGGCCGTGCATGTCACACTTAGTCATTCAGTGCTCACAAGACAGTGAGATCCACGGAACAGATGGAGCAGCTGAAGTGCAGTAACTCACCTGGCTTGCACAGCTAGAAAGTGGGAGAATTGAGATTTGACACTCTAATTCCCCATGCCATATACTACTTTTCTTTAAAACTTTGTACAATTTGGAATCCCTAGTCAGAAATATGAAATGCTCCCAAACCTGAAGCCTTCTGGGTCCTAAGACTACACTATTATACAACACACGGAAAATTTCAAAACTCATCTCATATGATGGATCACAGTCAAAACAAGGGCATACAAAAATACTGTGCAAATTAGGCCACCAAAATGGCTCAGCAGGGGAAACATACTTGCCACAGAACCTGAGTCTGATATTGGACCAAATGGTAGAAGGAGAAAACTCCTACAAGTTGCCCTGTGATGGCCACCAGCTCTATGTGACATGCTAGCAATCCCATAATACAATGTAAATAAAGTTTGAAAAACCTTACAGCAGCTGGGCATGGTGGGCACACCTTTAATCCCAGCACTTGGGAGGCAGAAGCAGCTGAATCTGAGTTCCAGGACAGTCAGGGCTACGTTTTGAGATCCTGTCTCTAAATAAATTAATTAATTAATTAAAAAACAAAACAAAACAAAAAAAAAACTGCCTTACACTACGGAGATGCTCAGTGGTACACTAGCTGCTCTTGCAGAGGACTGGGTTTAGTTCCCAGCACCCACGCTGGCAGCTTTAACTCAAGGTCCAGGGGATCTGTCACCCTCTTCTGGCCTCCACTGGTACCAAGCATATACATGTGCACATGCATGCATGAAAAACACCCAGACACATAATAAAACAAAACAAAATATATAGTACAAATTATCTCCCAGCTGAGTATATGTGGATTCCATGCTTACCCTTCCTTGGGTCCCGTCATATCAAGAACTCTGTGTATATATAAAAATCCCAACATCAAACAAAACCTTGGAGCTGGACCTCTAGTCAAGCATTTCAGATAAGACATATTGAACCTATAGTTACTGACTAGAGGCAACACCGAATCTTTGTCTTGAAAAATTAAGAATAGAAACACTATGGTCCGGGGAGGCAGCCTAGTGTATGTGAGACCTGAGGTTTGAGACCCAGCCCAACAATAACAGCCATATTTAAAAAAGAAAGCACAGAGGCCAGAGAGCTCTTCCAACTGATAAACCACAAAACAAACAGACAAAAAAAAAAAACAAAAAACAAAAAAAAAAACAAGGAGCAGATTGCTTTTGTGGATTTCTGGTAAGTCGGTATGGACCAACTATAAAGACAGAGCGACTCAGATGCTTTCTGGGACAATGACTTCATAGATGCGTACCTAGCCTTAACTCCCTCCTTTTCTAGATAAGTCAGAAAGGTTCGGGAGAGTCAGTGTAGTGAGGGCTATAAGGATTACTCCAAGTTTAGCAATGCTAGAGTTAAACAATGGCTTTAGAGCTGGGAACGTAGCTCAGCTGGCAGAGAGCTTTCCAGTCTATCCAAAGTTCAAAGTTTGATCCCCAGCACCACCAAAACTGGGTGTGGTAGTGAATGCCTGCAAGTCTAGAACTTGGGGTGAGGCAGTCTCTCAGAAGCTAAAAGTCATCTTATGTAGCTACTGAGCAAGTTTGTGGCCAGCCTGGGCTACATAAGACCTTCTCTCAATAAACAGGCCAATACACACCGAATGATTGATTTCAGGCAGAGTCTCACCCAGGAGCTGTGGCTGGCCTTGAATTTGAGGCACCCTCTTACATCTGTCCCTCCAATGTTGTGGTTACAGCTGTGAGCCATCAATCCTACCTTAAACTATGACCTAGTTACAGCTTCTGTTTCATTTTAGTTTAAAAACACTGAAAATGCATTTGTCAATTTTTTTGTCAATAGGTCTGTTCACATTTTCAAAAAAATCAAAACATAATTACATAAAAAAAGAATGATGTGATCCTCTTTATGGGACAGTAGTTCAGGCACCCTTCACCACCTTGTGGCACCAAAATCCACTGCAAGTTATGAACCAGGCAACTATCAGATAACAAATCTCAGAAAACTGAGGAGGATGTAAGAATCTCCACCCCCTACAGCCAAGTTCAGTTCAAACCTGGTCTTTTTCTTATATGACATCAAAACCAAGTTTGAGTCTGTCACAGTTGTCCCATAAAACCTAAGAATAGTTTCCTGTCTTACAATTGCTCCTTCTGCTGCCACTGTTGACATCGTTGAACATCACCAAGTGTTCAGATCAGGACGATGAAATGGCCAGCTTTCTTGAGTCTGCATATACTTAATGTTTTAGGTCTTTTTTTTTTTTTTAAATCAGAATGGGCATGAAAACTCAGTCTAATAACAATGTTGACAGACTACAGTGGCATTCTTAGATCTGTTCATTTGTTGTATCAGTCATCTCAATGAATAAGATGGTACAGGAAGACAAAATACGTATCAATTCAGTATCACAAGGAAGAAAACATGTTTCAATTTCATCTTTTATTATAACTACTTTGACAGCCTCAACTTGACAACAAAATTCTCTTTTAAGAAATAATCAGTTAGCTGGGCATGGTGGCAAACTTCTTTGATGTGTGCCAGTACTCCGAAGGCAGAGAGGCAGGTGGACTTCTGTGATTTCTAGGCTGGCCTGGTCCACACAATGAGTTTCAGGTCAGTTAGGTAGGACTGCCTACTGAGACACTACCCCAAAAAATTATTTCTATGATGCTCCATATTATGGGTATCTGCTAATGATTTAACATACAAAATCAACTAGTCTTAGTTTGTTTTCCATGGCTCTGATGAACACCATGACCAAAGCAACTTGAGGAGGAAAGGGCTTATTTCATTTTACAGCTTCCACTCCACCATGACGGGAGTCCGGGCAGGAAGGTGCAGCAGGAATAGAAGTAGAGGTATGGAGGAGTGCTGCTTACTGGCTTGCTTCCCATGGCACACTCAGTTTGCACTGCATACGAGATACATGGCCCAGGAACACGTGTGTTGGAGCACCACCATCGCACAGCCTCAGCTGAGGTTTCCTCTTCCGGATGACCCAGGTTTGTGCCACGTTGACAAAACAACAAAAACCTAACCAGCATACAACTACTTTAAAAAAGACAGTAGATTTTATGATAGCTTATGCCTTTTGTTTCTTTTTCTTTAGCAGGTAACCTTTTTTTTTTTTCTCTTTTGAGACAGAATCTTGCTATATAAGCCAGGCTGTTCTGAAACTTCCTAAAACTACTCGCATCAACAACAACCAAAGCTGAAACAAACAAAAAAACCTTTGAGACTGTGTTTTGGACAAGGTCTCATTATGTACCCTGGTTGTCCTGGAACTCACTATGTAGGGTGGGCTGTCCTCAAACTCATAGAGATGCCCCCTGACTCTGCCTCCTGAGTGCTGGGATTAAAGGGGTGTGTCACCATGTTCTGTTCTAAACCTTGGGATTTTTGAACGCAGTTCTTTGAAAGGTTCTAAAAGTAGAGGCATTTAGCAAGATTAAATTTAACAAAGATCAATATTTGCAGTAAAATGTTGCAATTTCTAATGTTTCTGTATTAGTTAGAGTTTCTGTTGCTGTAAAGAGACACCATGACCAGAGCAACTCTATAAAGTAAAAACATTTAATTAGGTTGGCTAACGTTTTCAGAGGTTTAGTCTATTTTTATCATGGTGTGACATGGTGGTGTGCAGGCAGACAGGGTACTGGAGCTAAGAGTCCTGCATCTTGACCCAAAGGCAACAAGAAGCTGTCTGAGACAGTGGGCGTGGCTTGAGCAAGTAAGACACCTCAAAGCCCGCCAACACAGTGACACACTTCCTGCAACAAGACCACACCTACTCCCAACAATGCTACACCTCCTAATAGTGCCACTCCTATGAGCTTATGGGGACAATTAACATTCAAACTAACATTAATAAACGTGAAATACTTTGAGAGACCTCTGGCCTTAAAAATACCTAACATAGCTGGGCGGGGGGGGGGGGGGGGGGACACGTATGTCTTTAATCCCAGCACTCAGGAGGCAAAGGCAGGTGGATCTCTGTGAGTTTGAGGCCAGCCTGGTCTACAGAGTGAGTACCAGGACAGACTCCAGAGCTACACAGAGAAACTCTGCGATGGCACACACTTTTAGTCCCGGCACTTGGGAGGCAGAGACAGGCAGGAACCAGTGAGTTCGAGGCCAGTCTGGTCTACAAAACTAGTTCCAGGACAGCCAGGACTGTTACACAGAGAAAACCAGTCTCTAACCTGCCCCCCCCCCAAAAAAAACCCTAACATTCTGTAATATGATCAGAAAAACTTTTACAATTATGTGCCAAGGTTTGCGACAGTAGGACACTGTTTAGCAGCCAATCTGTAAATGATCCTACTACATGGAAGTATAGGGTCAGTAACCCTCATGTCCTGGTGTGCCAGCGATTCCAGCAAGGACAGGGCAGTGAAGTGAGGTAGCGGTGTTTGGCAAGCGATCTATCTGGAAACGGCACTACCTCACTAGATCCAAGCACAGGGCTTTGAAATAAAAATCAAAACAGCTCGAGTTTAGTCATTCACGGAGGACAGGACCGCGACCAGGAGACTCACCACTACATCGCCCTCCTGAGGAAGGCTGTTGGCTGGCAGCCTGCTCTTTTCTTCGTTGTTGTGGTACAGGGCTCCATCGTTTCTCATCACCAGACTATGCATGTCTCGGCCGAGAGGAATCTGGTTCAAGTTCACTTTCTGAGTTGCAACACCTATACCCCAGATTCCTAAAAACACAAGTCAGATACATCACAAATCTGAAGAACACAAACATTGAAGTTATTTCAAAAGGGAATAGCAACTCTTTTACTTCTCCCTCCTCCCCTCACGCCCCTCCCACTTCCAGTCAGGTCTCACTTACGTAGCTCTGGCTGGCTTGAACTTGGAGCTCACTAAGTTTATTGACTGAGTTGGCCTTGAATTCAGAGAACTACGAGGCTTGGCTCCCTGGAGTGCTGGAATTAGGGGTTGAGCCTTAAGTAATTAAGGATATATTCCTGTTTGTTTGTTTTGGCTTTTTTTTTTTTTTGGTTTTGTTTTGTAAAACAAACCTTTTAAAAAGCAGATTGCAGGGCCTGATGGCTCCGCAGAGAAAATGATAAGCCTGAAAACCTAACTTTATCCTCAGAACCCAAGTGAAAGTGGAAGGAAAGACCCATGGGTTCTATAAAGCTGAACTCTGATTTTCACACCTGCCCACCAGAATCATACACACACAATAATAACAAAGTATACAATGCCCTCCATAGGTAAACTAGAGGCTAAGAGTTGTACTGCTTAAGTTTAAACAATCACAGCTATGTTATCTTGGGTTACATACTTAACGTCTCGGTTTCTTCATTTGTTGGCTCTAATAGTACTTCCAAGGTGTGGTGGTTGGAATGAGAAGGGCCCCTACAGGCTCACATATTTGAATGCTCAGTCTGCAGTTGGTAGATTGTTTAGGCAGTTTAGAAGTCCTGGAATGTACCGTTGATGGAGGAGGTGTGTGTGGGGGGGGCAGGCTTTGAGGTTTCAAAAGCCGACACCAGGTCTAGTCTTTCTCTGCCTTTGCCTCCTGCCTGTGGATATGATGTAAGCTCTCAGCTACTGCTCCAGCGTGATGCCTGCCTGCCTGCCTGTCACCATGCTCCACTCTGAAACTATAAGTCCCCAACTAACTACCTACTTTTATAAGCTGCCTTGGTCACGATGTCTCTCCACAACAATAGAAGAGTAGCTAGAACACAGGTAAAGAAAAGACACAGGACTGCTCAAACACAGCACTTAGGATAGGTTACAAGTTTTTGGTTTTTAATGAGCAAGTAAAGCTCACGCTCAATATTTAAAAAGTGCTAGTTATTACCATTACTATTTTCTCTTAATATTTTTAAAGCATTGTAGGGGTGGGAGTACAGCTTTGTGGTAGTCTTGGCCTTGGACTCAATTCCCAGCAAAACACGCTCTCTTATTCTTTCTCCCTTCTCTCTCTGCTGTTCCTGAGAAATGGCAGGTTACTGTCTTTAGTTATATTTATAATGAGTGACAAGTACACGTGCTATAAACAACAACACAAAGGTTGAACATGAAGAAGAGACAAAATAATTTTCCCAATGCTGGGGCTCTAAATCCAGCACCTCACATACACTAGGTAAGTGCTCTACCACCAGACTGTATCCCCAGAAGCAGGTATTCTTTTCTCCAGCCAAACAAAATATCTAGTGTCCTGGACTTTTTCTCAAGCTGCTACCTTTCAGTTTTTATTAAAAAAGAAAAATCAGAAGAAACACATGGAAGGAGGTATGAATTCAATGCTATGAATACTTCCTAGTTTGTCTGACTCCTTCAGAAAGTCTGATGCACACATGTCTGGGTTTGGCTATCTTGATATCAGAAATACGTAGACCTATGAATAATTCTTCTCCCCAAAGAGACAACTATGAGAACGACAGCAGGTGACAATCACATTTTCATGACATTTGCAGGCAGGATTCTGCAGTCTCCTTATTCCAGCAGAACCTTGTACAGGATTACTAACACTTCTTACTAGGTTTAAGGCTCAAACACTATTTGCTTCTTTTCAGAAGAAAATATATATTTGGGAAGACAACAGTAATTAGGACAATCCACAATCAGTGAGGTATCTTACAATACAGCACAGTGGACAGACTTGGATTTATGCCATTCACTTAAAACAAAACAAAACGAAAAACCCAAACCAAACAGTATGGAACTACTTTAAGAAACCAGCTCCAGAAGCACCGTGCTGTCCAGGGAACAGACTCAGTTATCCCATTATGTCTTCTTGCTCTGCACTTACGTCATCCATGAAGACTTCCCAGCTTTTACTAAAAACAAAACCCACTAACTCCCCATATATAACTCTGCTACAGTTATGATCCTAACAGTCATACAGGCTTGCCATACACTTCAAGAAACTCCCTAAAACTGCAAAAGAGAAGTCTATGGTTTAGATGTGGTGTCCCTCCCAGTGCCCACATAGATCCCTGCTGGTGGATCCAATTGGGGGAGGGGACTGCTCTCAACAAGGGGTTAATCCCTTGGCACTATTAGAAGGTGGGCAGTGGGCATGTTTGGGAGGAGGACGCTACTGGGAGCACACTCTGCAGAGTCTTGTCCCCGCCACTCTTGTGTCATTACTGTTTTGGGGCTCTCATGGAGTGGGCAACTCTGCAACACCACAGCCTTCCCCCAGGATCTTCTGTCTCCTATGACTGGGAACAACAGAGCCAGTGACCATGAACCTCAGAAATGAAAAACGAAATAAAACTTCCTCTTAAGCTATCTCCTGGGGTGGGGTGTTGCAAAGTCACAACTCAGCATACTGGCTAATTTAACCTAGATCACAAAGAGAGAAGACTTAGGCCCTGTATATAAGAGTGGGACTTCTTCTTAATCGTCTCTTGAATTTTTTCATAATCAAAATTATTTTTTATATGCAAAACAACTGACTTTTAATAGTTAAGTACAATTATAAATCATACTAACCAGTAGACTGGATTTTGAACTCAAAGTAGCTTTTGTTCTGATGTAAAGGTGCACTGGCTAAACACCCTCCGGTGCCACAGATTCTTCTTCCATTTTTCACAATGACAACATCTGTTCCTAAACAAAACACAGATACCAACCACGGTTAATATGTGTACTGTGTGTGTAAAAGAGGGGCTGGGGGTGGGGAGAGGAAGGTAAGTCCACAGGTGTGGTTACTAAAGGTTATTGTCAAAGGTCCACCTCCATAGCTTTCCACCCTACTTTGGAAATGGAACCTGGAGGTCACCGAAGTTAGACTGCTGACCACTGAGTCCTTGGACCTTCTCCTTTTGGCCAATCAGTGCCTCAATTACAGTCATGTACTGTCATGCCCAGCTTTCTGTGTGGGTGCTGGAGAGTCCTAACACAGCAAGCACTTTACCCATGAAGCCATTGCCCCAGGCCCTGTTCACTAATTCAGTCAACAACAACAAACAAGGAATAGTATAAGTCTTTTCAAATATGGCAAATATTGATAAATTATTTTAAATACTTAATTTTCTACTTTTTAAGAGACTGATTATATACACTATTCATTTACAGTGCGTCTTTTTCAATAAAGTTGTTCCAAAAAAAAACTAAACTATGCTGAATATTTAAATTATTTGTAAGGGGTCAATGAGATAGCTTATGCCACCAAGCCTGATGACCACCTGAGTTTGATCTCAGGAACCCACAGGGTGAATTAACACCCAGAAGGTGTCCTCGGATTTCAAATACAAGTCATGGCATGTATGCACCCCCATAAATGCACACAAAATAAATAAAATGTGAAACATTTATAAGTAAAAGGAAACTAATTTAATTTTTAACCAATAAACAGACGTTAACAATTTTCATTTAAGCCGGGCGGTGGTGGCGCATGCCTTTAATCCCAGCACTTGGGAGGCAGAGGCAGGCCTCTGTGAGTTCAAGACCAGCCTGGTCTACAGAGCTAGTTCCAGGACAGGCTCCAAAACCACAGAGAAACCCTGTCTCGAAAAACCAAAAAAAAAAAAAAAAAAAAAAAAATTTCATTTAAGCTGAGCCAAAAACACTTAGTATATTGGTACAATTTTCATTTCTAACCAAATGAATTAAGATAATCTTTTACAAGACAGCTGAAGGTCTGCTAGATAGCGGCCTAGCCACCAGTCTGACCCTGGCTGGAGTGGTGGAGCGAGAGCAGTGAGGACATCTACGATGGAAGGGGCGGCTTCATGCTGAAATGGCTGACACGGAACAGGACTTAGTTTCAGGATCTTGACGTATTCACTAAGAGAGCTTCTGTTAGCGTGTTTTGTTCGTTTTGAGACAGGGTCTCTCTGTATTGCCTGTACCAGCCTCAGACTTTTGATTCTCCTTCCTCGCTCTCCTGAACGGGATTACAGATGTGTGCCACAGAGCCCCACTATAAATAAAATCTTACCATCATTAAACACACTTTATTTTCAGAGAAAATTTTAGTTTCATTTCAAACATCTTCATAGATAACAGCAAGAAAAATACTGCTTTTGAAATGTGGACCAACTAGTACTTTGGTTCTGAATTTTAGCTTAGGAAAGCAAGCCCATCTGCGATCATGAAGAGCCAGCACAATTCCTATGTGTAAGATAAATCCTTTAACATTAATACACGTGACTCCCAAGGTCTGTGGCCATTATATCTCCTCACCTGTGATAAAGCCATAAGCCAAGCAGATACAAATATTAGGACTAGGTGGCACTCCTCCAAAAGGGACTAATAAAGCTAGACAATAGTAATAAAAGGCTGAGTTCCTACTTAACAACAGTCTAAACTGGTCTTTCTAAGATCAGACACTGTTAAGGTTAAGTACATTTTTTTATTTGTTTAATTAAAAATTTTAAGGGCTAACACCTGCCACAAAGCCTAAGGAGACGTGAGTTCGACCCCTGGAACACATGCGGCAGGAAAAAGCTAACTCCTGTAAGTAGTACTCTGACCTCCATGTACACATGCACACACACAGTTTATAAAATGTTAAAACCCAATTTCTGAGCTGGAGAGATGACTCAGCAGTTTTAGGCACAAGCCACCAAGTCTAACAATCTTCCATGTGTTGGAAGGACAGTACCCTTCCAATCCACACAGAAGGAAGACAGGTAGGAACCTGGAGACAGGAACTGAAGCAGAGGCCATGGAGGAGCTCTGCTTACTGGCCTGCTCCTACCGGTTTGCTCAAACTGCTTTCTTTTGCAACTTGGGACAACCTGCCCAGGGCTGATATCATCCTGCCATGGGCTGGGCCCATTCACAACAATCACTGGTCAAGAAAAAAAAAGTGGGGAGCCCAACAAACTTGCCTACAGGCAATCTGAATGGAGGCATTTTTTCAGCTGAAGGTCTTTAGCTTGTCCCAAGTAACTTTAGCTGTCTCAAGTTGCCAAAATAAATAACAACAATAAGAAAACAGAACCAGAATAAATACTGTCCCCTTCAAAATAGATACCTTGAAAGGCATGCTTTTCTAGAAGACTAATTTACAATTAAAAGAACCAATGAGAATATTTACAAAACTCCAAAATGGCCTTAAGTAACACAACATAATTTGTATATTTTCTAAAACAAAACAAAACAAAAACAGGTGGGGAGGCATCAGGTGGCAAAGGCAGGTGGATCTCTGTGAGTTCAAAGCCAGCTTGGTCTACAAGAGCTAGTTCCAGGACAGACTCCAAAGCTACAGAGAAACCCTGTCTTAATAAAAAAATAAAAATTAAAAAAAAAGCAATCAAGTTGGACACAGTGGTACACACCCGTAGTCATAGGTAGTCATAGATACCTGGAATGTGGAAGGCTGTGCTGGCAGGGTGGCTTGAGCCCAGGAATTGGAAACAACTTGAGCAATATAGAGAGTCTGCCCCCTTTAAAAACAAAACAGTAGCAGCAGCAGCAACAACAACAACAAAACCAAACAAACAAACAAAAAGGAAAACAAGCTTGAAACAAACAAAAGCCCAAATATATTCTTTAGGTTATATAACTTCTCCGTATCCAAATGCATACAATATGTTTCTCATCTTTCCGACTTAAGAGCAACTCACACTTGAAGTATTCTCCTAGTTCAACACTCCTCTTTCTTTTCATTGGGGTTCTCATAGCAAGTTTGTCTGGGTTTGAAGAATCTGAATTTACTGGAAGACAAGTTTAAAAAAAGCTTCCGTGGGAGGAAAGAAATTGGAAGCTGGTATCTCTGTACTACAATCAACACCTGAGGGTGCTAGATAGGCCTGAAGACAGACACAGAAACTGATACAACACGTTAGTTAGTTCTTCCTAACGAAGACGGAGACCAGAGAAGAGGAAAGTGCTACAGAACAGACGGCAGGGCAGGGGCTCGAAGGTCCACTCTAGTCCTCTACTGCTATCACCAAACAGTACCTCGTCAGCACCTTTGTTCAGTGGTGGGGAAATCAACTAGAAATGCTTCCTGAAAGGAAGCACAAGATCTGAACATCCACCACCTAGAGGGATGGGTAAGAAAGAATTTAGCAGAGCGCACGCCTGGAATCCCAGCATTTGGGAGGCAGTGGCTGGCAGATCTATGTGCGTTCAAGGACCAACCTGGTCTACAGATCAGTACCAGGATAGCCAAGACTACAAGACACACCACCTGGAAAGCAGATGGTCTGGAAAACAAACAGAGATTAAAGGTATTTATTAACTACTGAGATTCTGTACGAGCTAGAGACTTTAAGAATTAAAGTACTGTAAATTTGTAACAGTATTGTACAAGACACTAAACAATGGCTGCATATAGTATTGCAATAGAAAACAGCATGGGCAAGGTTCCCAGAACTGCGGATTATCTGGGCAGGAGAGTGGTTTTTTTTTTTATTTTTTTATTTTTTATTTTATTTTTCGAGACAGGGTTTCTCTGTAGCTTTTTGGTTCCTGTCCTGGAACTAGCTCTTGTAGACCAGGCTGGCCTCGAACTCACAGAGATTCGCCTGCCTCTGCCTCCCGAGTGCTGGGATTAAAGGCGTGCACCACCACTGCCCGGCTCAGAAGAGAGTTCTGCTGTACGTATCAAGAATGTAGGCGTTCCTCAAATACACTGTCCTTTAGACAGTGAGGTATTTGGGGAAATCAAAAGTACATTAGTTTATTGTAATAATACACACAAAAAAGGCAGTACTCTAACTGAAATAATTATACCGGAAAATCTCTCCTGCCTGGACAATATTCCAGAAGCTTGGAAATATATGGGGGGGGGTGTCTAAAAAGTGAAGTATGGTGTGGGGAAAAGATGCTACGGAGGGGGAGAGGAATGTTGGATGAGAAACTATTAAGTCATTGGGAACTGGAAAGAAAAAACGTAGATGAGAAGAAGCAAGGCGCTGTTCTATTTTGCAATCGCTTGATCCGATGGCGAGAGGAGAGTCAGATGAAATTACAGCGATGCCAACAGTGACTAAGGAGTCCAGCCATGGAGATTTTAGTGGGAGTGGTATGTTAGGACCTGAGGTGCTACTCCTGCCTCCGGCAACCGGCCTTGTTGGGGCTTCAGGAAGTGAAGTACAGAACAAGCTTCAGCCTATACGTGATAGTGCTGAAGACAGGATTCTGCAAACGCTGGGTGACACCCGACACCCGGGCACGGATGGCGGGCGCCCCCGCGTTCCTCACCTGGGAACACCTGACTGCTCAGGAGGAGATGGAGTCCACCTCCCTCGGACGCGGGCACGGCCCCGGGCCCGATGGCCGCAGCCAGCCAGGCCACAGGGTGTCCGGGCGGCGGCGTAGTCACGTGGTCCCCGCCCCCCTGCCCTCCGCCCCCACGGGCCGTTGGGTCCGGTTGAGAGGCCCTTACCCATGTGCTGCGTGTCCAGCTGTACGGCCGGCATCTCCTTGAGAGGAATGTGGCCGGTCCCGCCGTCCCTGCAGCAACGCAGGCAGCACCACGCCGACGCGGCCATGGCGCAGCTACACAGCCCCGCCGCTCCGCCCGCGCCCGACTGTTTCTGGGTCGCGGGAGCTTCGCAAACCGCGCAGCTACGCCTCGGCGGGGAGGCGAAGCCGAGGTTGAGGCAAGGCCCCCCGGCCAAGAAGCGAGGACCGCCCGGCAGGGAGGGGCGGGGCGGGCCCGGGAGGTGGGCGGGGCCAGCTGCCGACCGGCTGAGGGAGGGCGTGGCGGGCGGGCGAGGCGGTGTCGGGAACTGAACGGAGCCGCTGGCCCGGTGGACGGGGGAGGGCGGGGCCAGTGACCTGACGGACGGGGGAGGGCGGGGCCAGTGACCTGACGGACGGGGAAGGGCGGGGCCAGTGGGTTGACGGACCGGGGGAGGGCGGGGCCAGTGGGTTGACGGATCGGGGGAGGGCGGGGCCAGTGGGCTGACGGGTGGTAGAGAGCGGGGGCTGCGGTATTTCCGGAGGTGGGCGGGGCCAGGAGCTTGAAGGACTTGGGCGGGTAGGCGGGGCGTCGTGCGCCTGCGTGCTGCGGCGTCATCCTCCGCCCCCCCCCTCCGCGTCGTCTCCCCGGTCACGCTAACAGGTGAGTGGAGGAGCGTCTTTCCGGTTCTCCGGGCTCGGAGGCTGCTAGCTGTGCTGCCCAGGTTCTGGAACTCGTGCTGACGCGGCGTTCCGTACTGTTAGCTGCCCGGGGTGTGTTTGTGTGGTATGTTGTGTGTGTGGTGTGTTTTGTGTGTGTGTGTACCTGCAGTGTATGTGTGTGGTGTGGCGTATGTGTTTTGTGTGATGTGTGTGATGTGTGTCCCCGCAGTGTGTGGTGTGTGTCCCCGCAGTGTGTGTGGTGTGGTGTGTGATGTGCGTCTCCGCAGTGTGTGTGGTGTGGTGTGGTGTGGTGTGATGTGTGTCCCCGCAGTGTGTATGTGTGGTGTGTGTGTGATGTGTGTCTCCGCAGTGTGTGTGGTGTGGTGTGATGTGTCCCCGCAGTGTGTGTGGTGTGGTGTGGTGTGGTGTGGTGTGTGTGTCCCCGCAGTGACTTTCTGGGGCGGGTTGACTGCCTGGGGAAGGAGCTAATAAATGCCCAGGAGTCTTTCCCGCGAGCGAGCGCTCGGGCTCCCGCACCCTGACACCTGACCCGTGCACACCGCCTGTGCACTGCGCTGTGGACGTGCGGCAGGGCTGGCTCTTTGTTGGCGTCGCCCACCATCCGTGCAGAGGCGCTCATCGCTGGGCTTGTGCCAGCGGATTCGCCGGCCGCCACCCTTGTGAAGGGACAGCAGAGGGCGGGAAACGGGGCCGGAGGACGACTTTTCAAAAAGTTTTTACTGTGTACGCATGCTCGTCTGTGTGTGTGTGTGTGTGTGTGTGTGTGTGTGTATGTGTGTGTGTGTGTGCGCGCGCGCGCAGGTGCTCTTCAGCCACGGCGAGGTCAGAGGACGACTTTCGGAAACAGGTTTTCTTTTCCCACCCTGGGGATCCGGGGATGGAATTCAGGCCTTCAGAGTTGCTCTGAGGGTCACTAGAACTGGGAAGGAATCCAAGGAGGCTCCATGAAGGGAAACTTGGAGCTCTTCTTAAGGTTTGCTGCTTCCTGACACCATATAGAAGGCCCCGTGTGGTCTCTCGTCATCTCCCTCATCACTTAGATCATCACCCTTCTTCAGACACCATCTGATGTGCAACAGAATCTGGCTCAAACTCTCTTCAGAAATAACATTTCCACCCTGAAAGTTTTCCCGGGGTTCATCAAATCCTGGGAAACTAAACAGAAATTCCCATTTGTTTGTTTGTTTATGTTTTTTCAAGACAGGGTGTCCCTGTGTAACAGCTCTGGCTATCTCTGGAACTCATTCTGTAGACCAGGCTGGCCTTGAACTCACAGAGATCTACCTGCGTCTGCCTCCCTCCTGAGTCCACTGTGATTAAAGGCGTATGCCACCACCACCCGGTAAATTCCTGATTCTTAAGTAATAGTTTCCCATACCTAACTTTTTAGTCACCTGGGTATAAATATCCTTTATGGAGATTTTTATTCATAGAATGAGGGAAATTTTCAGGCTTTGTTCTCTTTTCTATTTATAAAAAATATTTTCATTATAACACTAAGGAGGATCTCCAAGGCTTTAGTTACTGCAGAATTGATATCCAGAGTAATTGGTAAAGTGATTGAGGGCTACCCTTGCCCATGTACTTTTGAAGTACTCTCTTGGTAATCCCCCCCCCCACAACACACAAACAAACACATATGTGATAGGATCCTTCCAGATTTCAAGGCAGATATTGTCCCCACTTTGTGGGTGAAGAAATAGACTTAGATTAAAAGACTGCAATTAAACAAGGGTAGAAAATATACAAAGTAGGATTCAAAACCCAGGGTTCTGACTCCAAGCCTCTATTTACTTTGCCAGATCTTGTTGCCTCTGGAATTGTGAAGTTTGAACATACAATTCAAGGTACAACCCACTGAAAACGTCCAGTTTAAAATGCAGATTTGCTCTTCATTTTTTGTGTGTGTTTATTAGTCTCCAATTTAGCAAATTTGCTGTAACTTATGTGTAAAGAATAAAGTTGTTTTTATAAATTAAACCTGTTGCTTAGAAATGTTATTAAAAGCAGTACATGTATTAGGTTTGTAATAATGTCACATCATCAATTAAAGACTGTTAAATGGCTGTGACTAGGCCGCTAACGTAGAGAGGCAGAAATCCCATAGTCTTTTCTGGTTGGAAAAGGAATTTGTCAGGGTGGCACTGCCCAACACACTTTGTCCTCACTGTCGAAACTCGTGCACTCAGCAGAATGCAGCAAGCAGAACCGGTCAGCACCGCGAGCGGACTTTCCAGTCTTGGCGGATGATGATGAGCTCATAGACTTCCTTACAGCTGGCTTCTGTTCTTCTTCCTTTCAAAGGTGTTACCAGTTCGTTTTGAAAACTGGGTATTTTGACAGTCTGTACCATCACTTCAAATAATAATCACAGATAAAGCCTACACAGAAGTTTTTCAGCAGTTAGAGAGTTGTTTGTCTGAGTCAAAAGCAGTAACAAAGAATGACAACCAGGCAGAAAATTCTGTCTGCTGCAGACAGGTGAACTGATATGGTAACAATGTCAGCATGTGGCCGGCAGCCGAATTTAAACATGCTCGGGGTTTTCTCTGATGGTTTTGTAGAAGGCAGACATCTGTTGAGTTTCACACTCTGCACTGGATCGTACAATGTTTTCTTCATTTATCAGATTTTAACTCTTTAGACTGAGCCAAACCATGAATTATAAATAGTAACAAAGCCCTCCTGTAAGCTAGCATGTTTCTGGTGACTGACCCACTCACAGTTAACCTTTTGGAGTAAGGGTAGCTGACATTTATCTAGTACTTCCCAAGTACGTTTTGCAAATTAACCCTTATCACAGCCCCTGTGAGGAAGAAGTTATTCTGTATTTTACAGATGAGGAGTCTGAGAAGCACATCCACAGCCCCGCTCCCCGAGGGATGGCTGGCACTGCATTCAGGTCATGCGGTTTGGCTTTTACACCTTTAGGCGCTTAGCAAACTGTCTCCCTATAGTACTGTGTTTAAAAAGTCTATATCACTGGGCAGTGGTGGCACATGCCTTTAGCCCCAGCAGCTGGGAGGCACATGCAGGTGAATCTCTGAGTAAGAATACTTTCTTCCATTGTTTGAATATAAAATGTTCCCCACAGTCTTATATGTTTGAACAATACTCCCCTCCCCCCAATTGGGTGCTCCACTTTAGGAGTTTGTAGAACCTTTGAGACTGACCCAGCAAGCAGAAGTGGGCTACTATGGGAGGTACTGGAAGGTTCCAGCTCGATCTGTCCTTTTCCTCCTCTGTATCTCAAACTCCTGCCACCATAAATGGAGCTGCCCAGATGTAACATGAAGGGGTCCTGCTTGTTGTTGGGGTTTTTGTCCCTCCCGGTACCCCACAACTATTTAGCCCCAAAGAAAATCACACATAGGTCTCCATAAATTATAAGCTGATTGGCCCATTGGCTCTAGCCTCTCACTGGCTAACTCTCATATCTTGATTAACCCATTTTTCTGATCTATGTTAGCCATGTGGCTCAGTACCTTTTTCAGTGGGGCAGATCACATCCTGCTGCTTTGGTGGTCTGGGCAGGAGTGTTGGGAATCAACTTCCTCCTTCCCAGAATTCTCCTGTTCTCTTTGCATCATTTCTACTTCCTGTCTGGTTTTCCCACCTATACTTCCTGCCTGGCCAATCAGCGTTTATTTATAACATGATTGACAGAATACAGACAATTCTCCCGCACCACCCAGACCTGTACCCTTCTGAACCCTAGCAAAATAAACCCTTTCTTCCTGAGTTGTGCCTATCAGGGATCTTGTCACAGCAACATAGGTGATGAGTATGACATTTATTATTATCTTTTTCCCTTCCAGTCTTTACCCCAAATGTTGACATTTAAATTTATCTGGTGTTAATTATACTCAATGAATTCAAATGTACTGAATTTATAAAGTGTATTATATATGTGTGTGTATATAAAACAACCAAAAATATAAATTTGATTTTTTGGTTGTGAGCCTAGCCTTTGATGACTGATCCAGCTCTCCAGTCCCACAATATACATTTTAAGCTGAAGGTTTTTGTACTGCAGTTAAAATTACTATTGGTAGTTGACTCAAAATTTCTCTATTAGCAGGCACCTTTAAACCTTACTCCTCACAGGATGTCTTTAAAGGTTACTTAGTAGTTTTAATTTTAATGGCTAAAATCATTAAGCAGGGTTAGAGACTTGGAAAATTCAAAGATTAATCACTAGGAATAAAAGAGAAGATTGAGTAATAAAGGAATTTAAAAGGGGTGTATAAAAGTTACAGGTTATCACAAAATGTTTTTAGTATAAAAACTAAGAAAGCAATAGCAAAGGCTCTTTACAGAGGGTCCTATGAAGTGTTTCTAATGCTCAGAACTGTAAACCATCTTCCCTCTAGCGGAAGGCAAAGCAGGCTGTTGCAAACCAAAGGGAGCTGTGACGTCCCTGCCCAGCCACCAGTCCCCTTCTCTAAACCTCCTCTTTGTCATCAGTTTAGATCTGAGCACAGCCTCAGGAGCAGGCTACTGAGGACACAGAAGAGAGTGTGATGGCTATTCTTGGTTGCCAGCTTGAGTCCAGAAATGGAGGGCACACCTGTCAGAGCTTTCTTGCTTGGTTCGAA